AGCCCTTCTCTTCCTATTCTTCCTCTTATCACAAACTTACATTAGATACCAGCAAATGTCCTTGCTTGCCAGCGGCCAGGCCTTCATCAAGGACTTCCCACTATTTTAGGCCTATGTGATCTTCCTACGTGCCCACTTGCTTCTGTGGAAGGTATTTCCCCCGTTGTTCTGTGGGAGGCTCTTAGAAAACTCCCTCCTGAAAGGGAAGAATGGGTGTCCACAGAAATGTTACAAGGATCTAAAAAAGACACGGTAGAGAGAGACCGCATTTCCTGAGATTTTCAGCTCTACATAACTCCATAGAGAAAAAGTTGTGTCCTATAAAATCTGGTGAGACAGTTAGAAACCATAAGAAAATGACCATTTACTTTGCCATCATTTAAGAATTAATCATCAGTTTTTGAACATTAGGGAATTCCTTGGGTGTTATAAATAATGTCTTATGCTACGCTTTCCTTCACTGAACATGGAGAGGCAGACAGACAACGTGATCTTTTAAGCTTCATTTCCTTAGGAAATCTAGATAAAAGGAGAGGAAGCAACAAGTCTTAATGCAGTGCTTATATGCATCACAGTTTCTATAAACTGCAGTCATAACACAGACATTCTCTCCCAGGGACAGGGCAAGAGGCAATGGGCACAGGCTGAAACCCAAGGAGCTCCGTGTGTCCATCAGGAAACACTTTTTTACTCTGAGGGTGACCAAACCCTGGCACAGGCTGCCCAGAGAGGCTGTGGGCTCCCTTCTGGGGGGCTCCCAAAGCCTCCTGGATGTGGGGCTGGGCCCTGCTAGGGGTGGTCTTGTTTTGCTGTTCTTAAAACCTTGCTGATTCGCCTTTCAGCCACTGCCCTAAGTAACCCCCACTTAACACATTCTCTTTATCCAGTCCTCTCAAATAGCATAGCAAAAGGAAATTTCTAGTCAAAAAAACACTGGCAAACAGAAGTACACAGGCATATTGTTTCTATTTGTTCCTTGGAGGGAACATAAATGCTGACTGAATAGGCAATCAAATGGGACAATCCTTCTTCTTGCTTCTTGAAGGTAAAAAGTTAATTTGGGTCACTTCATATTTCCTTTACGTAAATCATTAAGCCATGCTCTACTTCTTGCTTCTGCTACGCTACTAAAGATGACCACTTCTGAATACTAGCATATTGCCATGCAGAACGGGGTCCATTTGCTGCAGCTCAACTGAATTCTGGATTAAAAACAAACAAACAAACAACAAAAAAAACAGAAAATCTCCCACATTACTCATGAACTCTGACTTATGGAAGTACTCTGTTAGTGACCACGCACACTCTGCGTCTTTTGAGTTAGGCGTGTTTAGAGCAGAAAGGCCTCTTTGACTTATTCGAGAGCACTGAATTTCCACGCTGCTCCTACTGACAACCTTAGTCTGTATATGTGCTTCCAATCGGGCTGTGAAATTAATATGGCTGTTTGTGTACATCAAGGGCAACCTGCACTCCTTTGAAAGCAAGGGCATTGCAATTATTGGTAGTAGAAGTCTACAAGCTTATAGTGCCATCTGTACCATCCAACACTCCCACCCATATCTAGTTGTATTGCTAACTTTGTGTTTCACAGCCTCTGAAAAAAAAAAAAAAAAGAAAAAACACCAAAGAACAACAGACACGCTTATACAGGCAAAATATTTTGAATCTCACTCCATTAGCCAATACATCTATTTAATCTGTTCTAATGACTTTCCATCTTACTGGGAACTACTTTCCAGTAATCTACTGTATGGAAAATATATCCAGAGATTTTCATTACAGTGACTATAAATGCAAAAACCTTGGCGCAGAAGAGCTGTTATGGGCTTCTATGATGCCTACTCCAAAGGCACCTCAATCAGAGCGGCTCCTGCTGCTCTGAGACCAGCCAGATATCTTGGGAGTGTGGCAGGGCCTCTGCTTTTTGTGGCTGGCTGAAGTGTGAGTGTATCTCATGTGTAAAGTGTGTGTATGTGCATGTACGGAGAGCTCCAGCATTTCAATGAGTAACGTAATTACCGGACAAATCCTACAGTACTTGCTACAGAGGAGTTCCTAGGGAGATTAATGGAAATAACAATCAAAGATATTACCAAGTCAAAGCATGCTATTAAGAACTAGCATATTTGTCTTCAAAATCAACAAAGAAACAACTTGATTCATCCTAAAATCATCTTTAAATATTAATCAGTGTCAGTGACCACATCTGAGGGAGAGGAGTGAAGCGTGCTTCTAGCAGCACAGCAAGGCTCTTTTCACGCTGGGATTAAAACTCGGGGAACCTCCTGACAAACCGAAAACATTACCTTTTTCCTTCACGTGAAGGCAGAGAAAGCACATATTTACATCCTTATAAAAATTTTCAGATTGTTTTTTGTTCTTATGGAAACCACTTGGACTGTGCCAGCAAAACCTTGCAGAATATTCTTTTATTTTCATCTCCATTTTTGAATACTCTTTTTATTAGTGAAGGGTTTACCTAAAGTACCAGGACCACGCTGCCAGAAAACATCACAGGCATCCTGATCAATTTAAAGATCCAGCCCTGGTGCTTAAAGTCAAGTGTCCGATTAGCCTTGTAGCCTTTGGATTCAGATTAGGGTGTTAGACCTTTCAAGACAGTACCTACATTTTTCGTTTTTCTTCATGGCAAAGTATTCACCAAAGTTTGGATGCTTCAGATCTCAATCCAGCGTGTGCAATTAGAAGGATGGTGAGGCACAGAGGTGCTTTAGGTATACAGCATGGTCTCAGGCTAGAAGTCCTTGTATTTATCGGCAGAGAGAATGAGCTATCTACACAACACAACGTCCTGCTGCCCCGGTGAGTGCCAGACGAGGACATCACACCGCCGGCTCCTGGCTCAGACCCACCATGAGTCCTGACGAAGCTTTTGGACAAGCTGGCTTTCTGCTGTGCCCCTTCCCCAGAGAGTCCCACGGCCATGCCATCGTGTGATGATGAACGTGAAAGTTTCTGAGGGGACGAGGGCTGACCAAGGGTTAACATGGTGCATTCTCCTCTTACTGAAATGATGTCATTTCCCTCCCCCTCCCCAAAAGTATCTGTTGCTTGGTTGTTTACACACTGAAGTTAATTTAAAATCCATATTATAAACCTGCATAGCTAAAAAAAATGAGTGAATTCTCATATCTGAAGATGTATATATAGATTCAAATTAAACCTACAGTGCCTCAGTGTTACAAAAAAAGTATTGTTTCTTTAGCCACAAACTCCCCATTTTCCTTGCTTTCCACATTTGCTCCAGAAAAATAAAGATTAAGAAAACAGAAGTACCAATACATTGTAGAAATTGTCCCAACGAGTTTATAATCCAGTGTAAGTTACACAGTACTGATAAGTAAAGGAAGTTCAACCAGACAGTTTAATCCTCCAATTTCCTGTCTTCTAATCAGCCACTGACTCCTCTGGCTTTAAATTAGAAACATTCATGGCAATATTCGGGACAGGTGAAGGAAAAAGAGGGGAAAGCAGCTAGGGAAAAGGCTTGTAGGCAAAAGGAGGACATTCACAGAGAGCAAAGACACGATAAAGTAGTAGAAGTGTGCAGAGCAATGCACTGAATTGTTTAAGTTATATACGGAATTTAGCAACTCTGACAGGGAAGGAATAATTTTAATAAAAACATTTATACAACGGGTGAGCAGTGCGTGAATATACAAAAATTGCTGGATAAAACAAAGAAAATCCATGGTGTGATGTTACTCTTTGTTCATGTTGTTATTGCTATATAAGCAGGTCTAATCTCTAATACACGTACACTTCTTGATACACCCTAAATGATAACCAGGGAGCACAAATCAGCAAAGCCAGTAGCAATTCAACAGCACGAAGGGATTATCATGATAAACATACATGGGAGTATGTACATGTGTGCATGTATGGATGTGTACAGTGATTTAAATGAGGAATACTGATTTTGAGTGTTTCATGCTTCTGGACTATTTTAGCTTTACTAGTGCCAATCAGCTTTCCATATGACAGAACTGAATATCTATTAGACATGCCATTATTTTTAATCTGATTTGCAATGAGATTTATGGGGAGCATTCCATTAGTTCTTAATTGACAGAAATGCTACTAACACTTTGAAATTCTCATTTTTTCTACTGGACAAGTGACCTGAGCAATCGCTATTCCTCTAAAAATGGAGCACAGAGGTGTGAAAGAAAAGTTTTCAGTGAAAAAATGATGTTGGGTTAAAAACCTTTAAAGTAACAACATGTCCAGTTCAAGCCTGGTCCTGGTATCTTTAATTATCTTTTAAGTTACAGCATCTAAAGAAAATAAAGTTCTATGCACGGAAATAGGGATAGGCAGTTGGATAACAAAACTAGAAAATAATATTCTGACAAACGTCTGAAGGATCTGCTTTAGCTGTCATATTCAAACCCAGCAGTTTGCGTGTTAACGCATACATGGAGTCATTTGAAATGGCTTCTTTTTTATTAATGAGCCTTTTTTTTTTTTTTTTTGTCAGATATTTCACAAACGGAACTGTTTGGATCTTGAAGCTGTTTGGACTGAGATACTCAAATTTTGGGTCAAAGTTGGCTCCCAGTCACTCAGGGAGGTGAACCTGGAGTCGCTCTGCTCCGCTTAATGCAGCAACTCCAGGCTGACGGCAGCGTAAATGCTGAGCAGAATTTGGCCCAGGGTCTCCAGCTCTGTATTGTCATTGAGAATTTTCTCCTAGTATGTAACTTTGCTACGTATGTATTTCAATAACCCCGTGCAAAGGAATTTTGCAGTCAATCCCTTATTAAACATATATGATAGTCACATCATATAGGCTTGCTAGAGCAAATAATTTAAAAAAATAATCAGCTTGAAATAAATGTTTATACAAGTAGCACAGCTGCACATATTTGTTACAAATGCAAGACAGAGTACTGAAACTTTTCTATAACTAACCCTTTAGTGCCTGTATGACAGCATCAAATTTAAATAAAAAGTGACAAAATAATGGTCCTTTTTTCAACAAATCAGTTCATATCATACCTTCAGGCTGCTATACTGGTTGAAGTATTTGCTTTTATATCTATGTAAAATATGTAATTCCTTCTCACACACATTTACAGCATTTTGGGGAAGTTTTCTGCTCAAATGTCATATTACAATATAGCCAAATAACTGTTTCTGCACTTACTTGATTAAAGCAAAGCACGAGAAAAATAGAATAGGTATCAAAAGATTGCCTAAAAACTGTGGTGACAAATGCAATTATTGTTAAAATGTACAAATCCTGTGGGGTTCGTCAAAATAGTTTGAAACATTAATAACTGTCTGCAAGAAAGAAGAATAACGTTCTTCTTTTACCTTGACCTCGTGCTATTTTGGCAAGATAAAATATATTAACCATCCCATCAGCTGGCTAGTGAGCAAAACTAACTATGATGAGGAAAAACGAATTAAAGGAGCATTAATAAAGATTATCAGTGAAAGAAAATAAGGTCAAAATTAGAACTCTGCATTTTAAAGCCACCTTTCAAAAATGCAAGCTGCTTTGCCCAACGATAAAATCCATTCATTTTCCTAATCATGCAATCAACCAATCTCCATTATCTTCAGCTAGCTAGCTATAAACATGCTATAGACTGGAGTGAAAGAGGGAGAGTGTGAGGTTGAGAGACAGAGAGAGAGAGAGAGAGAGAGAGAGAAAGAAAGAAAGAGAGATTACTACACCCAGCCTTTTATAAAGCCGTTTCTTTCATTATAACAGGTCTTTTCATCAAAATGACACAGAACCTTTAAATTTGGGCATAATACTCCAGTACAGTACGCAGCTCTAGCTAAAAACTGATTTAGAACCTGCTCCAGAAAGCAAACAAACTCACTCGTTTGACACACAAATTGTTTACGATTCATTAAAAAGCAAAATTGCATATCACAGTGCTGGCAGCTGAGTCCATATGGGTGCAAGGGGTATTCACTCATCTCTTTGTATGCTGGCAGTACCAAACCGAAGTTTAGCACTATGCAGCTGAGATTTTGTGCAGCCAGACGATGCATGAGGTAATTTTAAAAGCTTTATTTGTCTTTAAAACATTAAGATCTGCTCTCTAGCTTACTTTTGATTAAAAGAATGTGGCAAATGCGGTGAGGTTTTGGGGGTGAAAGAAAATGATAGATATCTACTTTTTGTTGTGCATTTTAGATTCACAGACTGTATGAAAAACTGCTTATTGCTCCATCAATAATTGAAACTTTGTATGAAAATTATTTGCAATTAACGCATCTATTGTAAAGATCTTGAATTATTCATTTCAGCTAAAAATAACCTCTCTTTCATCTAGCACAACTTCTACCAAAAAAAAAAAAAGGCTATTTTAGTGGGGTTTTTGTTCTCTTAGAAAATAAATGGTGTGACGTTCAAGTTTAAGGAGAACTTTCTGCAATGTTTAATCTAAACAACAGCATGTGTGGTTATAAAACTGTTTATTTTTAGGCAAGTGCATTACTAAATGTTTCCAGCATTTTTACATATTATATTCACAGTACTAAAACATCTGTGAAATAAATGTGACTGAAATGAAACTTCCTCGGATACTTTCTAAAGGGTGACAATAACTGCCTAATAGCATTTGAGGATACTTATTAAATAATAAACATTGACGTACCTCATCATAAAAGCAGCCGATAGACAATAAAAGAGGAGTGGTAATAAAATACACAAATGGCTTAGAATAAGGCAAAATCACAGCACGATATAAATTGTGTGGTTAAAACAGGCAGTCGAAAACTTTGCTTTGAAAATGATAACTCAGAATCAATAGCCTTATTTACAGGGGTTTAACCAGCTAAAAAAAAAGTCACATGAATAGTCAACAGTTTATGTGCATGCAAATACCCCTTCCCCCTCCAACTTCCCCTGGCAGAAAGTCTAATTGGAAAATCAGTACTATAAGTAAAGTGGTTAGCCTTCCCTATTCCCATTAACCAAAAGCTGCATGTTACATTTCACTGGCAACCGCTGGCAAACCTCTAATAGCCGGTTAAAAAATTAAGAGTTTAGACAAAACAAAACTGAAAAACCCGAGCCCAAACACCTTTAAATACAAGCCACATGATATACACAATGGCCACCACCAAGCTGCAGAATAAAAACCTTCCGGATCTCACTTTTAAAAGTCTTTCAAGTCCTCAGAGGTCTTAAACTTTCCAAATGATACCAAAATTGGTCCGGGGCGGCGAGGGGGAGGGAGAGCCCCCGACTTGTTTCAGCGTATCATACAATGAAAGTGATCATGCCTTGTTTTGTAATTCCACTCGCCAGTCCTTTTTTAACTGATATCTATGTGAAACGAGCTGAGGTTCACGGTCCAGTTAGGAGCGGATAATACATTCATTGTCCTGGCAGCAAACTTTTCCTCTCACTGGAAGAATTCACGCTTGCCACAAGAATAATAATTACAGAAAACTCAAAATGCGCTGCTAACGAATTAATCCCTAACGGACAACACGCTAACGAGGGCAGTAATGATTTGAGGACTCTCTTCCTCACAACAGGACTTGCATCTTCTGCCACAATGGGCTATTGTGCATCCTCCCAACTCACTATACCTCTTATAGATTCAAGATGTCAAAGGTTGTCTGGCCCGGCTGACCATGACATGCTAGTTAACTCGTTCTACGGAGCACGTTGGGACTTTAGGGAAACTTTAATTGCGCCCCAAAGCAGCCCGAGCCAGGCTCGGTGGGATCCGTAACACATGGCTCCAGGTCAGCGCAGCCCGGGAACCTGCTCTCACGTAAACAAGCGGAGGGAGAAGTTAGATCGGGGGCTCCGGCGAAAGGCAGCACCTCGCAAACCGCGCTCCCCGCACACGTGATGGTTTTTACACCACGCCACGACCGCACCGTTGCAGGCTTTTACAGTCAGCGGCTCGCAGTGCAGCAGGCTGAACTTTCCACCTCCCCTCTTTACAAAATAGTGCATGGTAAAAAATCACGCACACGGACGCTTGAAAGCAGCAGATAAAGTAAAACAAACTGAGCGCCAGGCAGCCGACCGAGACAAGTTACTCTGCACGAGGCTTTTGCAAACTATTTCTTTGCATAGTTTGTGTATTTTTTTTTATTTTTTTTTTCCTTCCTTAAGGAGAATTGAGAAAGCTTCCCTGTGGAAACTGTAGTGCACATTAACGGTCTCCTGTTACACAGGGGAAAGCACACAAGTGGGACAAGTGTGAGGCTGCTCCACTGAAGAGTGTGAAAAAAATCAAATGTTAATTTGATAAATGTGAGGTCTGGGACATTTTGTCAAAGAGGGAGGGAAAGTAGAAAAGGGAGAAAAAAAAAAGCAGCCCTGCTGCCAACTCACCATCCACCAAGTTCTGGCCGAGATGTCGTAGCAGAGCTGCCATTTGATGGAGCCGTCGGAGGTTTTCCCTGCCATTATGCTGTCAGCAAGCTTCATCTGATGCTAACTCACGGGAGATAAGACACCTAATTGAGAAAACATTTGCACTGGCATGTTGGGCAACATGTAGCCCGGTCCATACCATATGGAATCATGGGTAAAAAAAAAAAATCTCCTTGACAATGAACCAATCTCTCACAGACCCAGTGGCAAGGTGAAGTGGAGATGAAAAGTCATCTGCTCCTAGCACTGTCTTCTCCTCTCTCTCTCTCCCTCTCTCTCCCCCTCTCCCTCTCTCTCACTCACTCCTTTTTTTTTTTTTTTTTTTTTTTAAATAAGAACCCACTGCTCAACATCAAAGAGAGGCGGTCAAAATTAGGGCTTCATCACTCAGATGATTTTGGTCTGCAAGGTTTTTCTTTCCTTTCCCCTTTTTCCTTTTTTTAAGAAGAATAAAGAGATTTAATAGGACAAAGGCAGGTAGTGGACTGCGGAGGGAGATCGCCACAGGCTATTAGCCTAAAATTTCTGCTTGACAGATGGAACTGCTTAGAGACTATCATGCAATGTTTTGATTTTTTTTTCTCTTTTTTTTTTTTTAAAAAAAAAAGACTTTCAGTCTGATTCAGTATCTGTTTATCGCAGCTACTTTTCTCATGTACGTGACTGGGCAAAAAAAAAATAATAGACTGAGCAAAAAGAATTGCACCTTTCTTTTCTTTTTCTTTCTTTCATAACTGTGCATGTAATTATTTAAGCAATGCAAGAGCAAAACAAAAGTATAAACTGCTTGAGTTGATTTCTCGATTCAGTGAGAGGCGCTTTCTGAAAGAATCAAATGCTCTTTTATTTATTTATTTAATTAATTTAAATAAGAGAGACGTTAAAGTTTTGGCTCTTTGTTCCTTCTTGATTTTAGATACCAGATCTTATTCTTTAAATGAATGACTTTTCATATGAAGGTTCAAATGGCTAAAGTGCTCCCTAAGAGCCAAACAATTCCCTTCTTGTCTTTTTTTTTAAATATATTTTTGCCACCATATTTTTAAAACTTGTTTTTAATGTTACCCTTCCTGATACCATCAGGCAATAATGCCAAAAGCCTCACAGAGGTTTGTTTCTTCCTCTGGGCATTGGTATTCTCCACAACATTCATAATTTAAATGCAGAACTGACAGAGAGCTTGGAAAAATGACAACTCCAGAATAAATACTTTTGGAAAGTTACAAAATCCCGGTAATGTTCAATGCTAAGATCCTTTCCTGGAGAAACAGGTAAAAGATAATTGTATATTTTATTATAAACCTCTGATTCCCACTTGTGCTGGGGCACTGCAAAACAGAAGTATTACTTTTAGGACAGCTGAGTATTAAACAGGCAGCAAATGCTTCCCATTTAAGCCGCCCTGCGACGGATGCTCAGCTCTGAGCACCGCCACCCCACAACAGGGCACTTCAGTCCGTGCAGCAGCGCCGTCCCTCAAGTGCTCGGGAAAATGAACTTCTGCACTGGCCACCAGAGTCGCCAGGAACATCGCCTGGGTCTGTCGAGCTGGGGCTGGTGGAAGTCGCTCGCTCACAAACAGCGATCCGCTGCGAATCTTTTTGTCGTTTGGATGCAGGAGGAAAACGGATCAAAAATATCCCCTCTATTTTAAACAATATCTATTTCTGCTTGCATCAAAAAGGGAAGCTCGTGGGCGCACAATTCCTCGTTTGATTGTTTTGTGTACTAACAATTGTTTAACTATTTGGCTGCAGCAGAACTGTAATTCCGGGCTGCACAGATTACAAAACCGGCATTCACACTAGGACAGAACTAACTTTCATCCAGCCTCAGTAATACTTTCAGATTTCTGTGATGTGCGAGATAAGCAAATGACTTCGGATAAAATACAAAGTGCTGATGTAACACGCAGGGGTTAGTCTTTGTTTTTGCCCCAGCCCCAACCATCAATTGGGACTGCGCAAAAAAATATGTCAGTGCATGATCTGCACAACTACTTCACATCCCAGTTTGCTTTTTTTATTTTTATTTTTTTCCCCTGGATAGCAGGTACAGTATCACTGCTACTTGCAGTGAAGGGTCGGACTAGCATGGGAAGTGTTAAGTTTTAGTCAGAGTCCAGGAAAAAAAAAAAAAAAAGGGACGCTGTGCCAGGAACTGTCCTTGCACTGGCCGGCCAAAGCGTTTATCGTCTTCTGTTACTTGGGCTTCGCTAACGCTACCTGTCCTCGGCGGGGCTTGCTGCTTCCTGAAAAAGCTCCCTGAAAATAATCATACAAAATATAAAGTAAAAACCCGAAGTAACGATCAGCCTTTGAATGGGTGTCAGGTTCGATTTTATGCTGCTGTTTTTGCTGCTGCCTCTCAAAACAAACAAGCTACCCACCCTGCTTATAATTTATTTAGTATTTTATAGCCAGTTGGGCTGCGTATCTTTCCCCTCAAGTTGTGGTAAATCTCTGCTCAGTCTATATGGCTTTCCACTGCCCGATGCAGTTATAGATCCACTGACAAACTTTCTCTTGATTGCTATATTAACCACTGCTTGGAGAGCACTTAGGTCTTCCTATGGCAATATATTACTTTACATCAGAATATTAATTATAAGCACACTGGATAAACATTTTTTCAGAAGAGCGTACACTTTTCAGCTTATGAATGACAGAAGCATGAAACCATTTCCTTCCTGACGGTACAGCAGCTATGTGCAAAGCAACGAGGAGCGCTGCTGGTTAACTGTGTTTTAAATTCAGCACAATTAGGTGTAGTTAACTTTGCCATTGTTCGTTCTGATGCCGGGGATGGTGGGTTCTTACCCATAGAGCAATTATTCCTTTCATAAGCGGCTGTTGTTAATAGCATTAAAACAAGATTAAATACAACATGTTAAATATTGCAATTATTGTGGAAAATAAAATTATTTGGTGAGCATAATGGGGAGCAAATCAAGCATTTAACATGATCCAGGAAATGCTACTCCAAACAATTGCATTTGTTTTATGCAATTTTTCCCCTTTGATTGCTGACAGATGCCGTTTTGGAAACAAACATCTAAGTAGTTTTCCTTCAATCAGGAAAAAAACCACACACCAGAAAATGGCTACATGTTTTGAATTTAACTCTTGTCAATCAGCATTCTGCACAACACTCCCTGTGAATAGTACTAGGACAAAACGATGCCTTCCAACGACTAATAAGCCACAAAGATGTTTGCTTCTAAATCAGATCTGTTCCGAAGGAAGAAAAAGCTTTCGTGCTGCGTGGACATTCGTGCAGACACAGCTGCAAAATCAAAATGCTTGCAATATACGAGTGATACTTCAACTTGGAAATAAGTTAGGTGTCTGTGTTTGTGGGCTACGGGGGAAGAGATTTGTTTTCCGACAGCTTTAGGCCTCAAGCAATGAATCGAAGTACTTGCCAGTTGCTTTCTGACTTCCTACTGGAGAAGTGGCCAACTATCCAAAAATAAATTCGCTTCATTGTCGAGCAGTTACCTGCCGCAGCACCCGCAGCACGAGCGTGCCCCTCCGTATCTGCCCTCGGCGGCACGCTGGGTGAGGTCATCGCTGCTATCAAGTGTACGCAACCAGGACGGAATGCTAAAAAAGGCTAATAAAGTATATTAATTCGGATGACTATATCAAGCTGGCATTTTACAGTCTACTGGAAACTGAATGCATGAGAGCATTAGAAATGTTGGCATAGCGGGCGCTTTCTCCAAATGTTGGCTTCTACTGTTCACGTCGGGAAAAGAAACCCGGCAGAACTGCGTGCGGCTCCCAGCGCTAGGCACATCTTTAGGATCCTGGGGCTCCCTGCTCGAACACCTATTAATTGCACCGTGTCTACTGCTCGTTAGCACTTTCTCGATTCCCTTTACCCCCCTTATTTCTTCAGTGGCGATTGCTTAGAACCTTTTTGGAAGGTTGCAGCCGATTAGATCTGTTCCTAATTTGGGAGGCGTTTTCCTTGGAAAGCCTGCACTTAGATGAGTTATGGAGAGGATTTCCTTATCTCGAGCAGTGACAATTAGTTCAAGTGCCACGTGAGAGCAGGCAGTTGATTTTTGGACAGCCTCTGAACTTATGCAAAGTTGCTGACAATGAGTGTGTGTTCTAGCTTTTGGAAATCCTATAATCCTGGCTTCAATCAAGAGGATCTGCTGTTGCTGAAGGCGTAAACAAGGACAGAAGCAGCACGTGACCGCTGCGCCTGCACCTTCAAGAGCTCCTCAGCCAAAATGAGTGCAGCAGTAAAGCTTCTACGGGATACTCAAGGTGACCCACGCATGCTGGATGATGTGGCCAAACCCAGGGAAAGAAGTCCTTTCCCCTTCCACAGGAAAGTTGTCTTTGGTCTCTGCATTTTCCCCGTAGCTCAGCTGTATGCATTCCTCTCGCTCCTCTGAATTTCTTCTTGCCATCTGCACTCCCCCTTTTGCCTCATCTGAAGCAAGCACCAAGACCCTGCTCCTGACAGAGCAGTCTGTCAGTACGGACACCCTGACATCACCGACAGGGCTGGGACTTCATGTTTGAAAGAAAAAAGGAGGGGCAGATAAAAGGACTTAAGGGGAAGGAACAGCACACAAACATTATGAAAAATGTAAAAATTCTTCTCTATCAACCCAAAATGTAGAGAAACATAAGCCAGATTTATTGGAAGTCTAAATATGCCCAACTATTTCCTAATCTGTGGCCATAAATCAACACAACAGCTCAACACATCCTTCAGCTGAGACAGGTACCAGCCCTAGGAGCGTGCACTCTGAGGCTGCAAGGCCTGTGGCAGCCAGCCTGGTCCCCTGAGAAGGGCGAGGAGGGACAAATCTGGAAAAAAAATCTTTATTCTCATACCTGGGAGGAGCTATCAGAGGGGATGAAGGACTTCTGTCCCAGAAATAGCTAAAAAATTTAAGTAATACCATTCTATAGAAATCAAAATAAAAGTATTAATCTAAACTACAAATTCTGTTTTGACGCAGCTCCATCAAAGGTAACATCACCCCCTGGGGCAGGTGTGCAGGATGTACCCAGAAAATATTCTTATCAGGTAAATTGGGCTGGAATGTCACCTTACTACTCTTTTCCTTTTTCTTCCTAGAATGAAATATTAACAAAAGTAACTACCTGCTACTTGTATTGCTAACTATTTTTGCATAAAAAATGGTAATGTTTAGAAGCCCAGTCTTTCCTTTATTATTCGAAATATATTATTTTAACTCTGACATTAGAGGGCATGCGGAAGATGCTGCTCTCCACCATCTCCAGAGCCACGGCAAAACTCTAATAGTAAGATTCATAACTTGTAGGAACGGAGCTCAAGAAAACTAAAAGGTTAATATATTCTAACTAGATGTTGGGTATAGAATGTCAGATCTGTCAAATTTCATTACAGTTTGCTGCTCAATGAAAAAGATTTGATTTCTTTTGCCACTGTCCTACTATGTTCAAGTCACACAGTGCCAGCAGCAACCAGCCAACGACCACAGGCTGGCACTGAGCGGGCCCGAGTGGGAAGCCAGCCGCAAGGACCATCTGTTTCCGATTTCTAGCGAAGCCAAGATGTGCAGTGAAGTGCATTCCATTCACCCAGCCAGCCTTCTCCCTGCTCAAGTTATTAGTGTTACAAGTGAAATTATCTTTTCCAAACAGCGGGGGAGCTATAATCCTTATGGAACAAGACTTAAAAAAAAAAAAAAAAAAAAAAAAAAAAAAAAAAAAAAAAAAAAAATAGGACAGAAAAAAGGTCCCCCCTACACCCTCCCTCCCCAGTTCAAACATCTTTTGTTAAAATTGTTGATGACAGTTTGGAAATTTAATTGCCATATTCACGGGTTTCATCATTTTAAGGGATATTTCATTAGGAACTATCTCCTCTAACGCAAGAATGTGTGCTTCAGTTCATGGGATCTAATGCAATAACCCATTCAAATATATTTAGAGCGCTATTTATGAATAAAGTTAAAAATGACAAGATGAATGCTCATTTAAGTCTCTCTAACATTAAGTGCCTTGAAAAACATTGTAGGTTTTAAAGTATAATTTAAAGTGAGATTGCATAAACAGCGCTAATTACATGCTACTTACATTGTTTCAATATGTAATGCATATGTTTAACCTCTCCGGGAGAGGATTGGTCTTGGCACAGCATTGGGGGGATTTAAGGGTATGCTAAACTGATAACTGCAGAACGAGCTCTGACATAGGATATCGGTCTCCTACTGTTACCTAAATGCCAGGTGAAACCAAAGGATTTATTGAAGGGAGGGTGGAAAGGGGACACACACACACACACACACACAAAGACAACACAATGAGGTGAAACTGAGAAGTTTATTTTCAAAGGGGGAAACATTTATCCTTTGACACCATTCCATTCCAGTGACTTTATTTCTAATATACCATGAGATTAATGATGTGGCTACTGTCACTGTGTCTGATGAACACTGGCAGAGCTCTGGAGCAGTTGCTCCCTCTACTATTATTGGACATATTTGTACATTGGCATATATAAGACAAATTTGCTCCCTGTGCCAGCCAATTGGAAAAAATCTTATTCAGAAGTACAGAATTTTGGTTTTCTTCTACTGCATTCTATACATAATATACAGTTGATTTAGTATTTTCTGATTTAAAAACTTTTTAAAGTTAACAGTTGTTTGACAGTGTTTTCATGTCATATAATAGTCTCAGTATGACTCCTATGAAAAATCCAGTTAGAAATAAAGAAGTAAATTTTCAACAGGACTGAGATTCCCAACATGCCAGAGGAGAGTCAATATTTAAGCCTTTGCTAAGGGATGGCACAATTGCTGAATGCAGCCATAATCATTCACCATCCTATCCCCATTCTATTCTTTCAAATCTTCCATCCCTATTCTTTCAAAGTAATGCCATCATAAAAGAAAATAAAGTAGCTCATTTCATTAATTTTCTTAGTCTCTTGCCATCTGTTTTTACAGGTCCAAAACCACTGCCATGAGTGGCTGATACCGCACATTAAGAGTAACTGTTGAGTCACCTGAAAACTAATTCTCATTCAGCCCTACTTTAGGTTTTATCTTTACTTGGTGTGTTCGGTGATCCATGGACACTGGCTGCTGTTGCAGGAGGACATTACTTGAGCTGTGGCTAAATTGGTACTAACACAAATCATAACCTCATTCTCAACTGTCTATGCATATACAGAAACATCTAAAGCTGCATACGTTGCCTATATTTAAGATTTCCTGATGTACTAGAACTAAAATGTATTTCAGGTGCTCTGGTGCTATGCGAAACAACACTTCAGGTCTCTCTATGCAAGTTTACTTCCATGTAGATAAAGAAGGAAGAGAAATAAGGATGCAGAAGAATCTAAACACCACAAATAACTGTGGGACTGCTACAGACAATTTCCATTTTAGAGGTCTGCAGGGTATTGTAAGAGAGAGGCTAGCAAGCAAAAATCATCAGGCTCAGCACATTTCCATAGCTTGGTCAAGCTTGGGAGGCTGAGTACCAATGCCTATTGCACAGATGACTCGGGTAGACTGTTAGTCCAGGCATAGGCAGACTTCTTGTCACTCCTCCTGTAGAGTTTGTAGGTATTATAGAAACCCACAAACTCAACATCACATGAAGTAATGCCTGAAGTATGCCTTAATGTCTAAAGCAGATTGAGAACTACCTTTGGATTCGAAGATGGCAGTGTCATATGCCACAGGAAGCATTTATCTCTCTGAAACTATGCTCTGATTTTCACTTATTCTTCCAGTTTCTGATAACTAGTTGCTGCAAATGGCTCACAGTAGAAAGAAAGACTTTACTATTAATCAAGAGTGATAGACAAGTGCCCAAAGTCTGCCTGGAAATGGCTTTCTTTCATAGGACCTGCTGAGTCCACCAGTGCTGCTGGATTCACAGGCAGCAGTGCTAAATCAATGCCTTTTATCATCTACAACTACATGAAAGGCTGTGACTACTCCTTCCTAATGAGAGACTTCTGTAACACTGTCTGCTTAGGGCTATTCTTGAGGAATAAGGAATCCGAGACAGATGTGGCAGTGACCATCATATTAATCTCAAAGACCAAATCCCTCAAAGCAGAGGAAATATGAACAATTAAAACAATAAATATACTGAATCACATGGATTTCCAGTGCCCTCAGTACTAACAACATCTCCACACATTACTTTGCAATTTCAGTCTGTGAACAAGTAAATCCTCTTCAGTTTAGAGAACAAGATTAAAATGCTACTACTATTAAAAACCACCCTTGTTTGCTGGTTCACATGTCTATTTAAATACCTGCCTATTCCTTCGCTTCACCTCTTGAGGTGTCAGGCTTGTCCTCTTACAATAGGGCTGAATGGCAGCCAGCAGGCTGAACAGCACACCTGGAAAACTGTGGGGAAGGACCGAGCTGCATGGAAGCAAATTTTACAAGTGAACCTGATATAATGCATTAAAGTGGCTTCGGATTACTGAACATCTTACAGCAGGATAACACTTCAGTGATGCTAAGATAAATGTACGCTCTTGTGTAATCCATGCCACTGAGCATCACATCCTGGAAGGCAAATCTCTGAACATAGTTTATTCAAAAGACATCACTATAGTATCCTTTTTTTTTTTTTTTTTTTTTTTTAATCTGTTAACTGATCATATAAAGGAATTTCAGATATTAAGTCTGCAACACTTGTCTGTCTTTGTGAGGTCCTTTTTTTTTTCTCTAATCACTTTCGAAAAATATCCACAGGAGTCGTAGCTCATCAAAAATAAATAGTCCCATAAAGAAGAAGTTTCAGCTAATCAAACAGTTTTTCATGAGTCTAGAACTAATGGAAATGTATTACTTCAGATTTAGAAAATCAAATTTAATTCAAAATATGGTGCACTGCTAGCAAAGAGGAGATTATACAGAAATTCTCTGATGGGAATCCATCATTAAGGGGAAGGCACATTCAGTCCTCAAAGGCTCCTTTACAGGAGTCACTAACAAATAATTTGCACCCTGTGTTCAGCCTAATCACAACCCTTCTGGCTATGCCCCCTGTATGCCTGCAGGTGAAACAGAGGTGGTGGCCCTTATGCCCCCATGTCACCTGTCCCTCACAGGCCTTCTGCCAGCTCTGAAGTGGCAGGAGTTCACAGGAACCCAGAAATCACTCGGGGCGTTATGCTTTTACCTTCATAAAGTAGGGAATGACTGTGAACTTGACTCTGTGCCGTGGATCAGCCGTGCTCAGTGCTGAAAAGCTGAGGAATGGTTTCAAAGCAGGCTTTGAAGCCTACTCAGTAGGAATGGCTGGAATGTGCATCTGCGTTACCAGCGAGCTGCTCTGGTACTGCGAGGAAAAACACAAAGCTGAGTCACAGCAGACGACAATGCTGCTGACAAAATGTTTTAAACTGCAAGCTAAAACAACAATGGGATTATTTATGGACTGCAACTCTTATTTTAATGTCAATAAATGTACTGGATAAATTCCCCTTCATTAGCTGGAAACCTCAGAAGGAAACAGAAATATTCTGGTAAACCACAAACTTGTTCTTAGCAAATACATGGCTACATTTCCACTTCAGAGGCATATCCAGACTGTTTCTTCACTGGGACAATAAATCTCTGGGAGTGAAAAACAGAGTCTATAAATGCAAGACCAACAAAGTAAGGGTGTGACACGCACACGGCCCTCAAGGCTCCAGAGGATGACAGTGGAAAGCAATGAAAGCAGCTTTTTTTTTTTTCTCTTTTAAATGAATGAAAAACATGTCTTCTGAGCTCTACCATTCAGCTCTTAAACCAAATGGCTGGAACAAGTTCTCACTCCAGGAGGTGCTTGCTGTCTTATCAACGGGGCTGCAGACATCCCAGCGAGAGCAAGTCATTTCGATGGTTGTGTGCAGGGGGTGGGAGGGGGACGGAGAAGCTCGGCCACGTCCTGCTGCACCTCCCCGACTCCTGAGATGCAGAAGGTGCCTTTCTTGTGCATAGCTGGCTCCAAAGACATTATGCATCAGTGCTGCAATGCTGAATGCAGGACAGTCTAGTCCTTCACCTTCCTACCTTGCCACTGCTGGATGCTTTGTAGAGAAAGAGGGGGAGGACTCAGGTTTGCCACTGGGGCTCTCCCATCTTGGGAAAAACCCCAGCAGACAGCTGGGGTCAGCTTCTGCTTCCTTGGGGCTGATTTTGAGAGAGATGAACAAGACAAAACGTCTCACCAAATAACAGTGATGGCTCCCAGACTTTCTTGAAGGAATTGGTTCATCTCAGGCTGGAGAGCCTGGAAATCAGAGCCAGTGATTGCTTTCTCCTTCTGCTCCTCAGCACTAATTTTTCTTTCCTTCCCCCTTTCTAAATCTGTGGTTCTGTATCTTAACCTGCACCTAATGGCTTGCAAGCCATTTCCAGAACTGAAAATGTGGTACACTCTTATCTGTGCAGCATTTTGCTTATTTATAGCATCACACTAATGACACTTTAGATTTTCTTTAGAGTTTTTTTCTTATCGTAAGGATGAGACACAAACAATTGTGCCTGGGTCTGAGTACATTCTCTGCCCCTTTATTCGATTTATTTCAGATGCTGTGTCCTCGGGAAGGGGGACTGAGGACTAATAAATCAGGTGTTTCCTCCTTCAGTGTAAGTCACCTGCTGTGATCAATAAGAAGCAGAAGAAAGAAGTGTTCTTGTTTGCATGAGGTAATACAGACAAACAGCCACGTGTATGAGGTAAGAGCATATTTCAAGCCCTATTCTTGGCAAACCGGCGAAGTTGCTCAAGAATAGCTCGTTGTGTTCGAGCAAGAATAGAAAACTGTTTGCTGAGAAGGGATACAGGGGGTAAAAATACTGCTCAGACCAGGAAGTAAAATGGGGAATCCAGTCCTCGTTGGCTTTCTGCTGAGACTCTGGGTCAAAATCAGACCAGTGCAGTATTCCCATGTCAGAGAGCCCAGATTTCTCACAGCCCAGGAGCAAGGAACCCGATGCCCAGCTGAGCAGGGACCAGATCAGATACCTGGGGACAGCGCTGGAGCTTGTATGGGATGTGCTCTCCCCCCTGCACAGCCTTCCCTGCTTCCCACCTCGAGCCAGGACGCTGCGGTGTCCCCAACCATCCTGAAGTGATGCAAAACCCGTCATGGCATGAGTTTATTTTTCACTGGATGAAATTATTCCAACTCTCTGTAGATAGGCAGATACCAAGGAAGCCTGCACAAAATGCAAAGAGCTACAAATATATCCATGTGTAAATGTTTACCAAAATGTTGCTTCAGTAATTAAAAAAATTAATCCTAGGCCTCAGTATACAAGAGCTGAACCTGTCAGCTGTGCACGAGTCAGTGGGGACCACACTTTCTTTCCCCTCCTTTCTTTCCACAAAACCTCAGCCAGACTTGGCTGAAACCCGCTTTGTCACTCAGTTTTGCCAAATATTTGCCTACAGATGGGTCAGAGAGTCTTGCTTCTAGGTGCTTACCCTGCGTAGAGCTTTTGTCACCGTAACATGAGGACTCAGAACAAGTGAATGGCACAGCACTATCTTTATATGAAAAGAAGCAAAGCCTACAAATTGCAGGCACTTTCCATTAACAGGGCAAATCCTGGCTCTTGAAAGGGAAGCAGTGAGAACTGCAACCGTACAAGTAGGAACAGTAGGAAGCGAGGGGAGAACCATTCATCAAAGGATGGGAAAAAGCCCAATACGTGGCACACTGTATATATTTGTTTTCACACATAAACATGCAGACACACAGCCACAGTCTTTTATTCAGAAGTTTGTGTACAGCTCATACTGAGTCAGGCTCCCAAAGATGCAGGATTTGAACACCTTCCAGAGTGAGCTGCTTTGCCCCTTGCTCTGCTTTTGCAGAGATGTCTAGCGGCACCTCCATGGTTATATTCACTCTCAGTCAGGAGTGGGGATTGTTTTGCCTAGAGCACCTCACTGTAGCCTAAAAAAACAAACAAACCAACAAACAAACCAAAACAGAATCAGGTCCCTTCTAGTAACTGCTTCACCTGAGGATATAGCGATCGCCTTCCTAAAGGGAAGCAGCGTTAGCTCGAGCTTCTCCATGCTTCTGCTGGAAGACCTGGGCTCCGGTGGATAATCCAAAAGATTATTCCACGGGGGATTAACCCAGACAATACTTATCAAAAAATGTCACTCCACAAATATGAGCCAGGAATATGTTCCTGGGAAATGAAGGGATGGGATATCTGCATGTCCCATCCTCTCCTTAGCACACATCCCCTTGTCTTCCCCTTCCTTCTCAGCCCTGCCTTCCAGCAGCTCATATTATTTGGGGTAGGGATCTTACTAACTACTTACACTGCACCTAACACAAAAGGGCCATGAATGTGGATGGGGTTTCTGGAAATTTTCATATTATAAGATGATTTTTATGCTGAATAACTACCTACAGAAAAGATACTGGTAAAACCCGTCCTTTTCTAAGATTTAGTAACAAATCAACTATTTGGTGCATAATAGGCAATTCATTTTGCTATGCATTTACTCTGCTCTATTTAAAACACGAAGCACTTAAGGATATTTGGAGTATGCAAGGGACTATTACAAAATCAATTTCTATTCTGCTTTATAACTCAGCCACTTAAAGCCTTAATTTCCTACAATTCACCTTCTTACATCTGACCCATTAAAAGCAGGACCAGCTTCCTCCCGAACTCCGACCATATGCTCCATAGAGCAAAACTATCAGGGCCATCACCTCCCTTTGCATGTTGCCTACGTTTGTGTACTTCCAGCATCAGTTCAGGTTTGTCTGCACTTGCTTGGGAACCTGCTGCCTCCTTTGCCAAGGCTTGAAGGAGGGAGCTTTGGTTTCGCCGAGGGATCTCCCGTTACGCCTTACAAATAAACAAACACCGGGGTACCTGGCAGGAAGGCACGGCCCTTTGGTGAGCAGGGCTCAGGCTCGGCAGAGGGCAAACGGGGGAGGCAGCATCGTTTTCACTCCAGCACAAAGTGCCTATTCTTGACTACTTGACCAAAGGAAGCAAAAGCAGAGGGACGACCAGCAAAGCACATCTGCAGGGCTGTATTTCACAGGAAGCAGTGCAGCTCCTCTCCAGATAAGTTTCACTAAAGAACAAAGACGGATTTTGTTCGGTGCTTCAAGAATGATGCATTGAACCTGGACCTTGCTTTTCAGTCCCTGAAAACAAGGCTTATGGAGCGAAACCTAATTTCTCCCTCTCCCTTCTGCGAATTAGCTGCATGATTTTTAAATTAGCCCTCTGCTTCCTGTATGAAAAATCGGAAAATACACACACCGATCTCCAACCAAGTTTCTATGTTTTACTTATTGATTTTGCAGACTACACATAGTGCATCTGAAATAAACGTCAGAGCAACAACAGCTAAGCCAGTTGTGCAAAACTTAACCTCCAAGGCTGAGCTGCTTTCAACTTTAAGAAACACAATATTTATGACTAAGAATAAGACACATGGGGTAATAATGAATTAGCAGGCAGTATTGTCACTGATTGTAAAAATATTTTGAGCTTACATCTTCCATGTACACCATAACCTCAGAGGCATACTACCCACTACACTTGGTTTTCCAGTAGCTCCGTGAGGTGTGTTTTGAATGATAAAAGCATCACTAGGTGTAGTGGGAGCAAAAGCCATGCTCATATTAAAAGCAAACAGCAGAGCACCCATTACCTCTTGTCCTGGTGTTTCTTTTCTCTTTGTTTTTGTTTGTTTTAGCTTGAGCAGCATACTCCAGAAAATGCAGGAGGACACACTGTCAAGTACTTCTTTATAGTTTTTTTCTTTTTCTTTTCCCTTTTTAATCTCTATTGCTTGCAACGTCCTTGCCCTCTTTACAAGCTGCAGACTAATATTCTTTTCTGTCAGTTTTCTCCTTTGTCCTTCTCTCTCAGCAAAGAATGACGGGGGATGAAAAACAAAGAAAAACACCAGCACCACCACCCTCAAAATCCTCAAAACTTCTGCCCCTCTCCCAGGTAAGAATAAGAGTTAAAGACAAGAAGTTTTGTATCAAAATTTAAAGGAACTGATAAATTTGAAGGAAGATCATCTGTATCACTCCTCATTATTGCTCATTTTCACTATGCTCAGCTCTGCAAAGAGTAGTGGAGCATTTTACAGCAAACAACAGCTTACAGTAAGTGCAGCCTGGGAGATTGCTCTCTGAGAAGGACACCGGGGTCCTTTCTCAATGATTCTTCCAGCATTTTGGGAGCAGAGGCTGTGAGATGTGATGAGTACAAGGCAGCAGAGGGCTGGGGGAGCTCCCTGGACCTGGGTGTTATCACTACAGCAGCCTGGTGATGCCCATTTGATAAACTCCCCTCGGTGGCTGCCTGCCCCAGAGATGGACCACGGACTGGAAGGTGAATGCTGCTTGTTCTGCTCGGGGCAGATGTCATCACCTGCGGAGCAGTCCAGAGCTGGAAGCCGTCTTCAGGAAGGAGAAAACATCCAGAGCCCCAGGATTTGTAGACTGGCAAATGTTATTTCATTTTTATTTATTTATTTATTCTCTTTAATTCCACTGTAAAAACTGTCTCGGTGGTTACTATTGGAAATTTTCCTCTAGTTTCAGGACCAGTAAGAAAGATTTTCTTTCTGGTAACTTAAAATCGAATTTCTGCAGGTTGCTACTTAACCATTTTGCACTTGGCACATGCTGTACATCATACAGGAGTGCTCCTTATGCTTTAGTCAGCATATTGCTTCAGCATCGCAGTCAGCTTTGCGCGTTTCTGTACATAACCTGCAATTTGCATTAGCTGCGGGACTAAATTTGATTTAATCTCTTTCTCTCCTCATGTACTGCAACTCTAAAAGAAACAGGAACACGAGGAAAAAGATCTCCCCTCCCAGCCCCCAGCCAACACAAGCGCTCCAAGAGTTAACTGGATGGCATCACAGCCAGCAACTACTCCCCAGCAGTACCCGGCGACACTCCTGTGACAGTAAGCATTTGGGTCACCAGATGCCACCGTGGCAGTGAGAAAAGCTTTGCCTGCATCTTCCCCAGCCTTCCCCGTAAACTCCTCCAGATTTCCCTCTCCTGCCCTTTTCCTGTCCCAACCCAACCTCTGATCTGCATGACGCCAACCACCAGAGGGTCACAGCCCGGTATGCACAGCCCAGCTACCAACTCCAGCACAGGGAAATCCCGAGGCTGGTGTCCAGCACCTTGCAGGAATTACTTTGTAAAGCAGTATTTTCCAACCTGGCGGTCATGGCCCACAGTAACTTCTTTAGTTATTGTGTTTCTTGCAGCCTGCTTCTTTCTACAATGAATCTGCCCCACAGACCTGACATTTAGGCACCTACTCCTATGTGTAGGAGCAAGCAATAAAACAGGGCAACAGACGTAACGAACAAACATCCAGAAGTTAGCCTGGTTTTCGGATGGCAGCAGTGCACAAAGATGGTCTTGGGGGGAAAAAAGATGAATGCTTCCTCCCTTGGAGAGGACGGCATGCTCAGCAGAGAGAAGCTCTCCACCCAATATCTAGTACTGCAACCTGAGTACGTTTCCTGTGGTATTTCCTGGCAGAGACCATCCAAGATGTGACCAGTCTGTGGGAAAGTGAGAGCAGGGCGGGATTTGGATTTTAATGGGGCTCAGGGTCTGCACATCTGACACAGCATCAGCTGAGACACGCCACAGGGCCAGCTGATGCTGCTGAAGGCAGAGGCCAAGCACGATGACAAGTCCTCTGCAGACATCCTTCTTTAATTACCGTGCTTTCAGCCTCCTGCTCCTTTTCCACTTTTATTTTTTCCTCCCTGGAACAAAAAAGGGGATAAAGGATGGAACAGCAACTGGCTGTCAATTGACTCTGGAGAGGAGAGGAAAGAAAATCTGCGTTGAGATGGCACTTTTGGTCCCCTCTGACCACCACAGCAGCCTAAGCAAAGCCACCTTGCCCTGCTCCCTCCTCTCCCCTCTGAAATCCCGGCAGGGACAGGGACAGCAGCCCGCAGCCGGGATGAGACAGAAACGCCTTCTGCCAGCTGCAGCAGGCCCAGCTGCTGACAGAGGACACGTGCTGCTGGACAGGGACCTGCTGGGAGATGCGCTGGGAGCAACTGGGGCCGGAGCCTGTCTGCTCCCCAGATACCCTCCAACACGGCCCTGAAGTTCACTGTGCTCGGGCCAGCTGAGCACATGCACAGAGCAGAATGCAATGTATCGTGTCCAGCAATTAACAAAATATTACGTGCACTTTTGATGCTATAAAACCTTTAAAAAGACTGTTAAACCTTTCACCGTGGGACATAATGAAACCTGTATTGCTATCTGCAGCGGACCTGGCCTTCAAACACGTAATTAAGCAGTCACAAATTGCAAAATTGGTCTGTTTGGTTCCCCCACTATGCAAACACTGTTAAAAGCTTTCTCATTTGTCAGTTACTGCGTTGTAATTGACAGGCTATGGGCAACAATTATCCAACTTTGAAGCCTGAAGACCACATCCATGTCTTATCATGATTTCCCAACACCAAGTATTTACTGTGTATGTTCCCTATGGGTTCAGTTGCTGCATGCACACAGGTGATAGAGCAGCTACCACTTGAAACGAAAGATTTGAAGCTCACTAAGCATAAAGAATCTCCCTCTCTTTATGAGGCTGAGGATTACGCTTTCTGTAGCTGACTGTACCGTCTCTAACCACTGGAAGACTTCATAAGCACCAACATATGCTGAACGACTTGCTGCATTCTGTAGCTCTAATAATATGGACACAGATATGTATACCAGAGACCAGAAACACCATATGCTCTAGCAAGCAAGTGCTGGGTCTTCTGTGCTGTCTCATGTACTCCTCCTATTCCTCAGACCACCCAGCACGCTGAATATCCAACACATTTACACATAAGCAAGGGATATGCTATTGTATGTACCTTATACTCATAAGAAACTTTCTTCAGGGCTTATGTGAAGTTTAAAAAAAATAAATAAGGGCAGGAGATTGTGTGTAAATCATTTAAATCAACTCTCTTCAAGACTTCCAGCAGTAGCTTTTTGGCACTACCCATCAGACCAAGAATGTTTCCAGCACAATTGTTATTGCTGCAGCTTCTGTTCTTTATGCAAAAATCCTGGGTTACTGGGATGAAAACAGAACTACACCAAAAATATCTGAGGAAAGAAGACAACTGAAAGACAGACATTCTTTCACAGGTTTTTCTAACTATTATCTAGCAGCTATTTAACTCACAAGGGCCAATAGGTCAGTTCAAAATATATGGTACGTTTAATGGCAAATAGTAATCTTTCTCTCTAAACTGCAGGTTTTAAATCCCCACTCTGAACAAGGGCCTACAGAAAACACCAAGCATCTTGGAGGATCACCAGGAAGAACATAAGGAAGATACAATCCTCCTATGTGCTTTTGTGGGTGATGGGGGGAACCACAGTCTGCTCTTTTAAGAGCAGAGAGACTGCTCCCAGTCTGGATTTGTACTGATTTTCCAGCAGGAATCCCAATGTGCCAAGGAGCAAAGGTCCAGACTGACTGACGTCTGGGAGGAAGAAACATCTCAGCTTGTGCCACGTTTTGTTTCACCAGCACAGCTCACAGAGTTCAAACAAAGAGGAGAGCTATAGGCAGCAAACAAAACTTGAAGAACCAAGCAGTGGGACCCCATGCCACAGGGTTCTCCAGATGCTACAAGTTTCATTTATTTTATTATTTTTTAAAAAGGTCATTGATGACCGCATTTGGTAAAATCCTTGCTTATATTTGCTAGAACTTGCTTTCCAGATTCAGACTCCTCTCAATCCCTTTTTTTTCCTCCCCTGCACACTGCCCCTCCACATTAAGACACCCACAGGTAGCTTGCATGCTTAGTAGCAAATAAAAAAGCTTTGCTATTAAAAGGATAAAGTCCCAATTCCACTTCCATCTCTATGGATACAAGGTTGTGACTCCAAAAGGAGACAAAATTAGACTTCAGTTATACCTGTATAAAAGGATTGGCGTGTGAGAGATGCTTTGGATTTGCACCCAAGTCAAATTTAGCCCCTGAACTTGATTTTTTGTGGGTTTTAGTGAGGGGATTTGTTAATTTTATACAACTAAACATAGAATTGGAAAACGTTAACTTACTACCCACTTTTTCCAATATGTAGGTTATTGTAAACATCTATTTGCTCAGTTACTTCAGGCTTTAAAGTATCGGTGCTGTGGTTTTGGCAGCCATAGCCAGCTTCCTGCAATTAACAACGAACGAGAGGGGATTTCTATGCATTAAAATACAAATCAATACAGGCAATGTTTTACCAGGTTCTCCTGCTCAGAAATACTGACTGTTTGTTGTTTGTTTGCACCCAGGCTGATTCTGCTGTGGAAGCACTGCTCAGAGCAGTGTAATCACGAAACCTTTGCTAAACCCTCTCAGCACACGGCATTAGCACCCTGGAGCTAAAACCTGGTGGCAGTGCCCAGACACAGCTCTCCAGGTGCTCTTGGCTGAAGCGCAGCTGAATCCGTGTAGCAGCAGCATGAGTGCCCTGCCTTGGTGTCAGCAATTTTGCACAAGCTCTGATTTTCAGGGCATTATGTTGACTTGGATAAAGAAATTCACTTGTGAGTGAAGTGGAGCTCTTGGAGCTCTGTAGCCTGCCTGTATGCAAACAGCAACACCTCCAGTCACACCTGGGCACATCGCTACTACACCATTACGTGTGGTTCTCCAAAGCTACAAACTACACGCCACTTGTTGATGAAAAGGAAGAGGCTTAGCCTTTTACTGGCTTTATTATTTTAAAAATCCCTAAATTAAGTGATCTAATCAAGGTGTGAGAAGGCAGTTAACAGAAACCCCAAATGTCTAGTAAGTAAAAAAGCTTTAAGGCCTTGCCTTGCCCCTGCTCAGTACTCGCTCATCCCTTTGTGGTCAAACATGCTGCCTATGCCAGTGCTTACAGTACCAGCATGTCTCTGGCTCCAAGAATTTCACACAGAACAAGAGTCCTGCAGTCCCACAAGGATCACATTAAATATTTATACCCACCATCACCTTTGTGAGGGCTGGGGGATGCATTCAGACTTTTCTGTGCTCTGGGCAAAAGCAAAATGCTGCAGAAAAACACGGTCAGGCTGCTCTGCCTGCCTCCTCCCTGCCCACACAGCATCGGAGCCCAGACTGCAGGCAGCACACACCACAGGTCATCAGTCTTTGCCCTCCCTGCCAGCCCCAGTTTGTCTTTGTAATGCCCCGTGGCTGTGAGCGAGGTGGGGATGCTGCAGAGGCAATCCCACCCTGCTCTGAAGGCTGACCCCTGCTCCTGGGTGCTTTACCCCTTCTGCTCACCTGGGGGGTTGGCCACGCTTCAGCACACCTCTCAGTGAAGCTACAGAGGAGGCTGCAGGTGATTTGGATGGTGTGTGATGAACATCAGCAAGCCAGACTCTTAGTAATTAATAGCTCATAAAGATTTCGGGTATTTAAAATAAGCCCGGCTGTGTGAGTGCAATCTGTTCCTGATCAGAGGCAGGTGAGGGGAAGAGCACTGCGAGCACCTGGGGAAGATTGGCTGGGGTTCTTTAGGGCTGCTGTAGCCCTAACACCTCCTTCATGCTCTGACAACAGGTTTAGGTGGCCCCCCAAAAATCAAAGGTCTGTAAAGGACAACAGCAGTTGGGTATTTCAAAGCCATGCTCCTCCAACTTTATCAAGTATTCTTCACCCACAGCAGAGAAGCAATGTCAGACTAAACAAATCATGAAAAATGGGGCAGAATTTAATTGAAACAAGGCAATTTTCACAGTGGTTTCAGCCCTAAGTAAGAATTACCAAATCACCAAAAAGCCCCAAAACAACCACCAAAACTCCTGCTGAAGATATTTTTCATTGCACTTTGAGAGTTTAACATACACAAGCAATCAAACTACTTTGTCTGAAAACCAAATAAGAGAACGCTGACGTTATTTCAGCTACTACAAAACATTCAAACAGTGACTACAGCAGGAATGGGGTGCGGGAGAAATATTACCCTTGTGCGAGTACTGGAGTTAGTGGGAAGAAATAAGTTTCTTTCAGAATTCTCTTCCCCTTATTTCTTCCAACCATTATTTGAGTTTATTTTTTTTCCTAATAAAATAATTAAAATCTTTCTCCTGACCCTTGGAAGATGCTTTATTTTTAATAAGGATCAA